CTTTCTTTTTTTCTTCTCTCCTTCTTTCCTTCTTTCTTTCTTCCTTCATTGCTTTTCTTTTTTTCTGCCTTTCTTTCTTTTCTCTTTCCTTCCTTTCTCTGCTTTTTTTCCTTCTTTCTTCCTTCATTGCTTTTCTTTTTTCTGCCTCCCTGCCTTCCTTTCTCTGCTTTTTCTTTCCTCCTTTCTTCCTTTTCTTTCTTCCCTCCTTCTTCCTTTCTTCTGCTTGTCTTTTCTTTCTCCCTTCTTTCTTTTTCTTCCTTCCTTCCTTCCTCTGCCTTTCTTGCTTTCCTTCATCCTTCCTTGGCTTTCTTCTCTTTCTTCATAGTTTCCTTCCTTCCTTCCTTCCTTCCTTCCTTCCTTCCCTTTCCTTCTTTCCTTCTTTCCTTCCTTCCTTTCCTTCCTTCCTTCTCCATCACTGGAGGTTTTTAGGAAGAAACTGGACAGCCATTTGTCTGAAATGGGATAAGGTTTCCTGCCTGAGCAGAGGGTTGGACTGGAAGACCTCCGAGGTCCCTTCGAACTCTGATATTCTGTATTCTGCGCAGGGGGTTGGACTAGAAGACCTCTGAGGCCCCTTCCAACTCTGTGATTCTGTTATTCTGCCCCATTGATGCAGCTGGGCTCCTTCCGTCTGCCCTGGAAGAGAAGCCTTGTTTCACAAAATTGCTCCCACTTTACCGATGCAAACAATTGCATTATGTGGTTGTTTTCTTTTTTTCCTTTCTAGACCTACAGCATGGCTTACCAATGCAAAGAGCCTTGCCTTCCTCCACCCACCGACATCGCCCAGTGTTCGGTGGACGCCCAGGATTCGTGCAACTTCACCGACATGGCGCAGTGTATCCAAACTTGTGATTGTCCCCCTTTGCAAGCCTGCAGCGCACCCGACAGCCTCTCGTACCAAGCCAAGCAGCCGTGCACGGCCCCTTCCTTTGGGGTTGTGCCGTGCCCCACGGCCACCTTTGTCCCCTGTGCGGTGCCTTGCCTATCCCTGCACACCGAAACATGTGCAGAAACTCCTTCCGTCCCGTGTGGGTCCACGACGTTGCATCCTTGTTCCCCCTGCGCAGAGAAACCCCAACCTTGCTCCTCGGGGACGGCAGAGGCCTGCGCCCCACCATCTCCTCCCACAGGTGGATCCAGCTGTTCAGACAACTGTTCAGGCCCACAAGGCGATGGGGGGCTGTTTTATGTGTTTCCAGGCTCCACCGTGTGCTTAGAACCATCCGGGTCCGTTTCGGTGAAGCCCGGTGTTGGTTCTCCGGAACTGGAGGGCGGTACGCTTTTTCTGGCATCTTACAAACCTCACTTCATGTAAAAGAAGACGGGGTGTTTTGCCAGATTCTGGGATGAGTAATTCTCGTCTAACAAAGGCCTTTGATTGTGGGGGAAAAAAATAAATATTCTCTTTAATTGGTGTTAATGAAAGGCAGGGACGGACCAACGGGGCGTGGACACTTTTGAAAACTCCTGTCTGGTTCTTTTGTCCCTGGGACTTTGTCCCTGTTATTTATTTGACAGGAAACCTCACCCTGCTTCCTGACCACAGGAGTCAATTCCTCCTTTGCGGCCCTCTGAAATTGACAGGCTCGTTCACGGGGGGGGGGGTTCCCAGGGGTATTTAAAGCTGGATTTAAATGTGTATCTTTGCGCAAAACCTGTTCGGGTAGTTCTCGAGTTAGACCACAATTTATGTCGCTAAGGAAAACATTTGTTAAGTGGGTTTTGCCGTCCGTTTTGTGACTTTTCTGGCCGCCGTGGTTAAGGGAGTCGCTTCAGTTGTTTAGTTCGTGGTACAGTCGTTAAGCGAATCTGCTTTCCCCCTGGACTTTGCTCGTCGGAAAGGTCGCAAAGGGGAAAATCATGTGACCCCCGGAGATGCTGCGACCGTCATAAATACGAATCAGGTGCCAAGCATCTGAGTTGTGACCATGAGGATGCTCCAATGGTCATAAGTGTGTAAATCAGTCCTAAGTCACTTTTTTCAGTGCCGTTGTAACTTTGAATGGTCACTAAATGAACTGTTGTAAGTCGAGGACTATTGTACTGAAAAGGATTAGATGAAAGACCGTCTCAGTTCTTATTAACTTTGTGGAACTGGAATGCAAAATTGCACCCATGCATCACATTTTTTTTCCCCTTTCTGGTCATGCCGAATTACAGGTAATCCTCGATTTACAACCATTCACTTAGTGAACAGTCAAACGGCACTGGGGAAAAAAGTGACCGTTTTTCACACTTTATGACTATTGCGGCACCTCCGTGGCCACGTGATTAAAATTCAGACGCTCAACAACTGACTCGTATTTATGACAGTCACAGCATCCCGAGGTCACATGATCCCCTTTTGCGACCTTCTGATGAGCAAAGTCCACGGGGGAGGCCGGATTCGCTTAACGACTGTGCCACTAATTTAACAATACAGCGATTCACTTAAAAATTTGGGGCGAAAAACGGAGACAAAATTCACTCAACAAATGTCTCACTTAACAACAGAAATTTGGGGCTCCGTTGTGGTCACACGTCGAGGACTACCTATACTTAACTTTGTTTGGGCCCAGGCTGATTTGAAGTCACTCCGGTTTAGGACTTCTGGTATAGTGCCAAAAAGGAAATTGGTTTGCCCAAAAGAAGAAAAATCTTGCAATATCCATCCTTGTTTCTGGGTGTCCTTTCCCACTGGGGGGAAGGGGTTTCAAAGTTTTAGTTGTATCAGTGTCTAGTTTTGGGATGGGGGTGGGGGCATGCCAAATATTCCAAGTGATTTGGAGAAGACCCATCCCCAATCCCTGCTTTCGAAACAATCCGCAAATACCTGGATGGTGTGGCTGCTCACCTGAATTTTCATAAACAAGTTTATGAAAAAAACAAAATTCTCTCTGCCTGCATTCAGGGTTTGTTTAGGGAGGTCCTCCCGTCCTAAAGACCAGGATACCCTGGAGCAACCTGGAGCTTTCATCTCGTCCTTCTCATTTCTGTTTTCGCCTTCATTTAAGCGAGAAATTTCAGGGTAAACCATTTCCAACACCTGTTTTCCTTCAAGCATCTTCTTACCAGCAACTGGACATTATCTCTATCACCTGTTGCAGCCAGGTAAATTATTAAAAAAAAAAAAAGCATCAAAGCCCAGAAACACCATCTCTGGTTTGGTCTCCCCATGCAGATATCATTTGGTTGTGTTTGTCCTTCTCGTTCAAGCAGAAAATTCTCTTTGCTGGATATTTTTCTCTGTCTCTATGACGTTGCAATAAAATGCTGGGTTATTCCTGCATATATCTTTGGAAGTGATTTCTTGTTCGGCTGTGTTGTGGCCCAGGCCCATGTGGTTAATATTAAATGCAAAACAGTTCCAAAAAACGAACAGATTTTATTAAAACTGCTGAGAATTAACTCATTGTCAGTATTTCTGATTAAATGAAAGCAAAGTCCTCAAAACACCATTATTCAGTTTATCTCTGACCTTGGGATAATTAGGCAAACTGCCAAAGGCTTTTCTTGGCAACAGGTCAGGAACAGAAGACGCTGACAAGAAAGAAAAACATCCAAACACGAAGCAAATCTCTCAACGGTTGTTTTCTGGCAAAGAGCCCAAGAGCCGTTGCTGCTCTTTTAAGCCTTATTGGGGGAGGGGGGCAACCATCTCCTGGCCTTTCTTCCGAGTCGTCCCTTTTGCTTTAACTGCTGTTGCCTTCTGGCACCTCTTCTCATACGTGCACTAGGAACAGGCTCCTCCTGTTCCTCTGCCTCTCTATTGTCAGCCTCTGGAGGCTCCGAAGTCCGCGCATCACTCCCCGATGGCCCTGGCCCCATCTCTGCCTCTAACGCAGAGCCCTCGTCTGGGCCTTCCCCAGCCTCCAGGACTGGCCCATGTTCTTCCTCAGCCTCATCGCTGTCCGACTCCACTGCTAGCTCCAAAGCTGCTGGCAGACCACAACAGACTGTGCTCAAGCAGAAGACGCAATGAATTGATCCGCGGATCAAATCGCAAGAAAGTTTTGGATTCGCCAAGACTTGTAAAGATCGCTATTCCGTTCAGCTTAGAATGTCCCTTGGGGAGGGGGGGGGCGTTTTTGTCTGGGTTTTTTTAAGCAATGCTTCGGAAATATCTCCGGATATTTCACAACAGGCTGGGGAGGAATTGAGGAGTTGAGAAATTGAGATGCAGGAGAAAACGGACTTTACTGGTTTATCCAACTGGGCCAAAAGTTTGGAAGTTTTAATTCCCAATGCTGGCTTTGAATCCTTGTATATTCACCCAGTTTTATCTTGTAATTTTTTTCCTTCCTTCTTCTCCCTCCCTCCCTCCCTTCCTCCCTCCCTCTCCTTCTTTCCTTCTTTTTCTTTCCCTATCCTTTCCTATCCTTCCTTCCCTATTCTTCCTCCCTTTCCTTCTTTCCTTCCTTCCTCCCTCCCTTCCCTTCTTCCCTATCCTTTTTTATCCTTCCCTATTCTTGCTCAGTTCCAGGGCTGCCTTCCCAATCTGGTCTTAGCTTGTCTGTCTGTTTGTCTCTGGATTGATGGATGAATGGATGGAGAGAGAGAGAGAGAGCAAAAGAGCAAGAGAGAGAGAAATGGATAAATGGATGGATGGATAGATAGATAGATGGAGAGAGAGAGACAGAGAGACAGCAAAAGAGTGAGAAATAATGGATGGATGGATGGATAAAAGAGAGAGATCAAGACAGACAAACAGACAGACAGACAAAATGAATCCCAGTGGGAAAACTAATTTTCTGAAGGGCCCCAACATTTGATCATTTCAACATCTCGTGCTGTAGAAGAATCATCAAAAAGATCTTCCCTTAATAAGTGTCAGCCAAAGACTTGAGAGGTCTATCAAAGTATTAGGGGGTCCCCAGCCTGCCCATCTTTGACAATATCAGCCTGCCCAGATTTGTGGCATCCTTGACTGCATTTGAACTCAGATCCCACCCTGATCCCCAGATATTCTCCAGAGGTGTCTCGTCCAACAGAAAAACCAAAACCCAACACTCAACTTGTTCGGTGGAGGAGCGAGTATTTTTATTAAAACTTTGCTGTTATGTCTTCGAGAGTGACAGAGTTGCTCCGTGGGAAATCAAACAAAATTTGGATGTTCTTGAGAAGATCTAACAATCGCCAGGACCATTTCCAGAAGACGTCAGTTGAGACCTCCTGAGGACACGATGGAGAACGCTGGGTGGGAAGGCTTGGAAGCAGCACCGGAGGAGGGTGGGTTGAAGTTCTTTCTCAGCCCCTTCCCCTTTATCCGTGGGGCATGGCAACCATCAACACTGTTTAGGAGGGTGTTGGGCCTTCTGTGGAGGACACTGCACATTTTTGGACGGAGGGCAGCAGGGCCCCTTTTGGGGCAACCCCTTGTAGGAATGTGAGCAACAAGACTTGGGGGGACATTTGGGGGGACCGCAAGGTCCTGGGCAGGGAGGGACCTTACAACCTTGTTTTTGCTGATTCATGGTTCTCCAAAGGGTGAAGAAGCCTGCAAAGAGAAGGGGGAAATTAAGAAACATATTGAACACGAGTGTCTTGTGTTGAGTCCTCACTGTTACGACTCCCCGTGCCTCAGCTGTTTCCTTGTTTCACAAGAGCAAAAAAAAAATCCCTAAATCTACTTTGGACTTTTTTTGCAGAAATCCAGGGGCATATTCAGGAAAATAAAATAGAACAAAATAACAGAGTTGGAAGGGACCTTGGAGGTCTTCTAGTCCAGCCCCTTGCTTAGTTAGGAAGCCCTACACCACTGCAGACAAATGGTTATCCAACATCTTCTTAAAAACTTCCAGTGTTGGAGCCTTCACAACTTCTGGAGGCAAGTTGTTCCACTGATTAATTGTTCTAACTGTCTGGAAATTTCTCCTTAGTTCTAAGTTGCTTCTCTCCTTGATTAGTTTCCATCCTTCTTGTCCTGCCTTCAGGGGCTTTGGAGAATAAGTTGACTCCCTCTTCTTTGGGGCAGCCCCTGAGATATTGGAAGACTGCTATCATGTCTCCTCTAGTCCTTCTTTTCATTAAATTAGACATACCCAGTTCCTGAACTGTTTTTCATATGTTTTAGCCTCCAGTCCCTTAATCATCTGTATTGCTCTTCTCTACATTCTTTCTAGAGTCTCCACATCTTTTTTACATCATGGCAACCAAAATTGGAGACAGGATTCCAAGTGTGGCCTTACCAAGGCATTATAAAGTGGTATTAACACTTCATGTGATCTTGATTCTCTCCCACTGTTGATGCAGCCTAGAACTGTGTTGGCTTTTTTGGCAGCTGCTGCACACGGCTGGCTCCTATTTAAATGGTTGTCCACTAGGACTCCAAGATCCCTCTCGCAGAAAGAGAGAGAGAATCAACCTATTCTCTAAAACATCAGAAGGCAGAAGAAGAAATAATGGATGGCAACTAATCAAGGAAGAGAAGCCACCTAGAACTAAGGAGAGATTTCTTGACAGTGAGATCAATCAATCAATCAATCAGAGGACCATGTTGCTTTCAGAAGTTGTGGGTGCTCCATCACTGGAGTTTTTTTTTTAAGAAGAGACTGGACAACCATTTGTCCAGAATGGTATAGAGACTCCTGCTTGAGCAGAAGGTTGGACTAGAAGGCCTCCAAGATCCCTTCCAACTCTGTTATTCTGTGATGCTGTCTTAGAGATACAGCAAGCTTGCTTCTCCAGTCTATAGGTAGTCTTCGTCTTAAGAGGACCATCCTCCCTACCTTCTTCCAAACTCAAGTTACAGATGCAGATTAACAGAGTTGGAAGGAACCTTGTAGGTCATCTAGTCCAACTCCCCGCCCAAGCAGGAGTCCCTACACCATTTCTGACAGATGGCAGTCTAGTCTCCTCTTGAAAGCTTCCAGTGATGAAGCTCCCACAACTTCTGAAGGCAACTTCTGTTCTATGGGTTGATTGTTCTCATTGTCAGAAAATTTCTCCTTATTTCTAGGTTGAATCTCTCCTTGTTCAGTTTCCTTGTCTGGCCTTCAGGTGCCTTGGACAATAGCTTAACCCCCTCCTCTCTGTGGCAATATCTTCAAATATTGGAAGATGCTATCATGGTCCTTCCCTGATCCTTCTCTTCAGTAGACTAGCCATGTCTTCTGTCCATCCATGGTTCACTCAGACATCTTTCTTTCTTTCTTTCTTTCTTTCTTTCTTTCTTTCTTTCTTTCTTTCTTTCTTTCTTTCTTTCTTTCTTCTGCTTTGGAAAATAGTTTGACCCCCTCCTCTGGGGCAGCCCCTTAAATATTGGAAGACTGCTATCCTGTCTCCCCTGGTCCTTCTCTTCACTAGACTAGCTGGGCCCAGTTCCTGCAACCATGTTTGTTGCTGACCAAGCCAAACTCAGAAGCTGCAAAAAAAGATTTGCAAGGGTAAGATGTCACCACCCTTGCAGAAGGAAGGGAAGAGAGAGGACAGGAAAGATCCAAGTTTTACCGTGCTGCGGATAATACGACAAAAGGACTCACCTAAAGTTTGCGAGAAGAGACAGAGATGTCGAGAAAAGTCACCAAGGGACGGATTGAGGGGCCCAAAGCTGCCATCCGCCTTTTTATTCGTGTTCCTGAATAGTGTCACTTCCTGTGACCGCCAGATTAAATCCGTTGGGTGCGGGTGTTAATTGACTAATTGAACTTTTAATCAGCCCCTCCCCGATTCTCCATCCATTAGGAGATGCTTGTCCAATGACTTTATAACTACTTAAATTTGGCCCTTCGCCCGGATGGCCAGGAATGGAATATTTCTGCGAATGATTTGCGACATGTGGCTTGTAGCCAGCAAACAAAACTTCCCTGGCGTGGTACAGTCTATCTTAAAATATCAGTGGCGTAATTCAAATATTTTCCACCCGGTGCAATCCAAACACTTCTCCACAACCAGATTTATTGTCTACATTTAGGAAATCTGGAGATGAGTTGGATAAAATGATGTTTTGTGAAAATGGGTTTTCCGTTCCTTCCCCTTTTTAAAATATTAATTGTAATTTGTTTGTTTGTTTTTTAAAAAAATGAATATCACTAATATCATGGTAATGTATTGATCAAGATTATACTAGGGGATTAATATGTGTTTCTGTGTGTCTTTTTTTAATGCGCTTTTTTCTTTTTTAATGTTTCGACTGTTTCGCGTTTTATTTTTTGTCTTTTATTGTCTTTTATTTATTTATTTTTTTGGCATTGGCAAGTGATCGTAAAATCTATGTAAATTATCTTTTTAAAAAAACTTCAACATCTTCCAAGCCATCAAAAGAGTGAGCTGATTTCTACAAGCGTGACTGGGCTTGTCCCAAATCTAATTAAAAACCTGGTTTCTAGATCCAAAAGAATTTCCTGGAGTTTTTGAACTTCGGAGAAACTTAAGTGCTCGGATGGGGTAGTTATTTGGAGTTTGGAAGGCCTTCCTTGCAAAAAAAAATAATAATAATTCCAAAATGCGGCATTGTGGCCTGTTTGAGAGAGAAGATTATAGGTTGTGCTTTGGTATCTCCCATCCCAGAACAAATTAATATGAATTAAAGCAAATGTTCTCCTTTATATGCTAGGACTTTGTGTAATGAGCTCCCTCTGTTGGACTTTCTCCATTATGAAAATCACACTTTTCTCATTGTGTGATTTGAAAACCTGCAAATGTGAAGTTTCCTCCTTGATCTTTCCTTTCTTCCTTCCTCCCTTCCTTACTTCCCTCCTTCCCTTCCAGTTTCCTTCCTTCCTTCCTTCCTTCCTTCCTTCCTTCCTTCCTTCCTTCCTTCCTTCTTTCCTAACATATTGTTTTTATGGAAATGAAATCACAGTCCACAGTGGAGAAATATCTGTTCCTTGCCGAGGATACCAAATACATTATTTACTGCCAAGATCGTTTCCATGTTTGGGATTGTCTAATCCCAATACGCTACATTCTTCTACTCTTCTCTGCTCTTGTCATCTGAGGCCATTCAAATGAATCCCCAAAGGAGAATTATCTTTCAGAATTACAGGTTTTCCAAGGATGAGGCAGGCCGTGGATTTGGATTGGCAGAACCCCCCCCCCCCCAAAAAATATATAATAATAACATGAGACAGGAGGCTTGGGAATTAAAGGAGGGGGTGAAATGGATCATGGAGCAGATGTTTTTTAAAAATGTGTCCTCTTTTCTTAGTGATTTCTCAGGCCCATCTGGCAAAATCTGTCCAGCTGCTTCTCCAGGTGTTTAGCTCCGAGGGATGGACGGCCCGATGCATTGTGGGAAAATCCTTCAGGAGAACAACAAACTCACCCAACTGGTTGGTCCCCATTTGAGTGACCAGCTGCTGATAGAATTGATGTGGGCCTTCTGGAGAGGTGCGAAGGCTTATGCCAGAAATATTTTATAATATTTTCCAAGCATAGAAGCTTCTTTTTCATCTGTGCCAGGAACAATGCCCAGAAACGCCCGCTTTCCCCTGTTTGATTAAACAAAATTGGTGAAACGAAGCAAGTTTCTAGTCCTTGTGCTTCTCAGGAGAGGAAAACCTGTTGAAATTGAGAAGAAGGTATTTAGAGTACACCCCTTTCTTCTGATCGAGGGAACAAAATGGATGAAGCAAAACCAAGACGCTAGCCCTCATGATTCTCAAGAGAGAAGACTTGGTTGCAATTAGGAAGGAGGTATAAAGATCTACTTCCCTCTGATAAAGCAAAGCAAAGGCTCTAGTCCTCATGTTTCTCAACTTGGTTGAAATTAGGAAGGTTTAGATAAATTAAAAAAAACCCAAGAGCTATGATTACTCAGAGTAGTTATGCTTGTGGTGTCAGCACTTCAAGCTGCATTTACTCTAGTGCTGACATAAGAAGGAGAAGCGGAGGCGTCTGGAAAGGGACGTTTGACTTTTCACCTACTTATTTTCCCTGGAGATAATATCCCCTAGGAGATGGGATGGGAGGGGGGAAATTCCTTTGAGCTGGAGCAGTAGATTAGGGGTAGAATGACTTGGAAGATGGCCAATGAGTGAAGGGGAGTGGGGAACGGAAAGGGAGGGTTTTGGGTCTGGAAGTCAGTGTTGGCTTCGATGGAGTCAGGTCTAAAATGTCGTGCTTAATAAATAGGAGTTTTCCTTCAAAGACTTTGTTTGAAATGCAATTTATTTGAGACGACCTCGAAACTTGACAGGTGGATTAACCCGGCAACGTTTTGACCTGCCCAGTTGACACCTGAGATTATCACGTCACTTGTTTCCTTGTTAAGTGGAGTTTGGAGATCTTTCCTTGGGGGAGGGGTGGGGCAGAACTTGGCTGCATCATTCATTTTGACACAGGAAATCTTCTTCCTATCTCTGCTCTGCCAGGAAGGCAATGCATTTTTCTCCTCCGATTCATTGCGTCGCCCAAGGTCAAATTCCCAACTCCGGTGTCCTTGTGTTCCCCTAGCAAAAGCCAATGTAAACAACAACAGAAGCAATGTGACTCTCACCCGCTTTCGAGGAAACTGGCTCTTTTTAACATCGCGCAATCCTAAAAATATGAAGTGAGAAACAAGAGGGGGGAAAAAGATGCTTTTTTTAAAAAAAAATCAGTGGATTAAAATCAGTGGAGCACCTTGCCACCAGAGGCTGTGGTTGCTCTATCATTGGAGGATTTTAAGAAGAGCCACTTGTCTGAAATGGTATAGGGTCTTCTGCTTGAGCAAGGGGTTGGACTAGACCTCCGAGGTCCCTTCCAACTCTTGTTCTTCTGTTATGTTGTCTTAGAGATACAGGTGGCTTGCTTCTCCACTCTATAGGTAGTCCTCAACTTATGATCACAATTGAGCCCCAAAATTTCTGTTGCTTAACGAGACAAGTTGTTAAGTGAATTTTTCCGAATTTTACGACCTTTCTTGCCACAGTTGTTAAGTCGGCCACTGCAGTTGTTAAGTTAGCAACCTGGTTGTTAAGTGAATGTGGTTTCCCCATTGCCAGAAGATCAGGCAAAAGGAGATCAGGCGAGCCCGGGAACTACGATCATCATAAATATGAGCCAATGGCCAAGCATCTGAAATTTTGGTCATGTGACCGTGGGAAGGCTGCAGTGGGCGTGTGTGAAAAGTATGAAAAACGGTCCTAAATCAGAGCCATTGTACCTTTGAACGGTTACTAAACAAACTGTTCTAAGTCGAGGACCATCTGTATTCCATCTCTGATTCTTAATGTTTGGACTAGAAATATCTATATTAAAAAACAAAAAAAAATAAAATATCACAAAGTGATATTAGCCCTAGATATCTTTGGAATGTATTTGGCACCTGGGCCAGTCTGGCTTCTCGTTTTCTGAGGTCGGAGAAAGAAGAATAGAACCTCCTGGTCCGGACGCAGTCTACCTTAGAGCACTATTTCTGCAAAGAAAGAGAAGGTGTTGGACAATTTGGCCACATGCAGGCATTACAGGGTGACGAACGATCTTAGAAAAATCACGTGCGGGTCCAGTGAAAACAAAAGAAGGTGTGGAAGGGTGTGTAAAATGTTGTGTGTGTGTTTTTTTTTCCCCTTCCTTAATGGGTTTTTTTAGCAGCCACGGGGAAAGAAAAACATCAAATATGACAACTTTGAAACGTAAACTTTTTTTGTTTAAAAAAAATGCTGGTTATATCCGTCTCGCCCTTGCGCAACAGGCTGGGTGAGGTGTGATGCCCCGTTAAAAATGACAGAAGTGTCGGAAATCTTTTTTTCACCCTGGGCGGGTGGGGTGGGGTGTGGAAGGCCGAGTGAGAGGTTGAGGTTGGGGGTTTGGACAAGCCGGGCTTGGTGAGTGAAGGAGCCACGTTGGGCATAGCTGGGGGCTGAATCAGAGGGGCAATGGGGAAGGGGGGAGGTTCCCGTCACCGAGCCATGATTAAGAGGGCTTGGTATAAAAAGCTATAGGTTGCCAGCTGGCTCTCCAACCGAACCGTGTGATTTTTCTGCAAGGCTGGAACTCGGCGAACAGGTGAGTGGAGCGGGAGGTCGAGATGGGTCAAGGGATGGATGGAAGGAGAAGAGGTGAAATCGTGGGCCTTTTGGAGCAATGGAAGCCCTGAGTATTGTAGGGAGGAGGAGGAGGAGGAGATGAAGGAGGAAAGGGGGATGAAGAAAAGGAGGTTGAAGGAGATGATGAAGAAGAGGATGGTGGAGGAAAGGAAGGAGAAGGGGATGAAGGAGGAAAGGAAAGGAAAGGAGATGGAGAAGAAGGAAAGGGGGATGAAGAAAAGGAAGTTGAAGGAGATGAAGAAGAGGATAAGAGGTAAAAGAGAAGGGAGGATGGCGGAGAAGAGGTTGAAGGAGAAAGAAATGGAGAAAGGGATAAAGGAGGAAAGGAGATGAAGAAGGAAAGGGGGATGAAGAAAAGGAGTTGAAGGAGATGATGAAGAAGATGATGATGGAGGAAAAAGAGAAGGGGATGAAGAAAGAGATGGAGAAGGGAATGGAGAAGGAAGAGAAGGAGGAGGGAATGAAAGAGGAGGAGATCTGGAGGAAGAGGCTGAGAAAATGTATTGATGCTCCTTGGATATAGAACCTGGGGAAATGGGGTGGGATGAGGGACTCATAGAAGTTGTTCACAAATCTGAGCAAGGAAGGAATGTAGTGGAAGGACCAGGGCTGAGACAAACTTCACATTGCTTCAGAAGAAGGTAGGCAGACACTGACTGCAGCTTCCTCTGTTCCAAGTTCAATCTTGGGGTTTCTTGAGGTCCATGAGGACTAGGATCTTTGTTCTAGGGAGGAAAACTTCTTGAAAAAGCACCAGCTTTGAATGCTTAGATGCAGCTGGAGCCTAGGGAGTGGTAATAAATCCTGCCTGGTAGACCGTCAATCAGTCTTGACTACCAAGATGGAAAATGGCCATCACAAGTCAACATTGTCCTTTCTCTGCTCTTTCATTGCAGGACCCTTAAAATGTGTGAAGAGATGTCTCACCTTCTGCGCAACATTCGCAGCATCATCTGCATTTTTGAGAAGTATGCCAAGGATGATGGGGACTGTAGTACCTTGAGCAAAGGAGAGCTGAAACAGCTGATCCAAACAGAGTTTGCTGACGTCATTGTGGTGAGTG